TTTTGAAGGTTTCGGGTAGGACAACCAGTATCTCCTTCTCAGCGTTGCGTCTTGTCAATCAATATCTCTTGTTAAGGCTTGGGACTTTGTCAGCCAACGACTGCATTCAGGGATGTTCGGGGGTTCGGGTTTGCCGACCAACATAACAACTTTGATCGGGTGGAGGGTATACCCAGCATTCAACGTTTGCCACGAGACACAATTGGCATAGTGCAAAGCTACAGCTTAGGGTTTGTCAACCATCATCTTTTTCTTTTAGGATTCGGGGTTTGCCGACCACGATCCTCCTTTAGGGTTGAAGCTTTACCAGCATCCTTCTTGAATGTTTCCGAAATGCCAGCCATCATTTCCTTTTGAGGTTTACGGCTTGGCCACCAGCATCATCTGTTGGCGCTTGGTGGTTTGCCAGCCAAAAGTTGTGTGTGGATTCGGGTTTTGCCAAGCAACAAAGCATCTCCTGATCGAGAGGACGGTTTGCCACCCATCATCTAGCACCCCACATTGTTGAGGGTTTGCCGACCAACACCTTCTTTCAGGCTTTGCTGGCTGTCCCACGGTCTCATCTGCTTTTAGTGCTTCGGGTTTACCAGTCGGGATTTGCTAGCCAGATCCAGCCAGCATTTCCCATCCTCATTGAGGATCGCGATGACGTATCAGTGTGTATACAGGGTATAATGCGAAGATACTGTTTAGGGTTTGCCAACCAATATCCTGTTTTGTGGATTGGGGTTTGCGCCAACCGCGATTTTCATGTAACCTCCCCCCAGGAGGTCGAATGCGAGTGTGTGGCGTCATGCGACGTTGCCGTTTAGGGTTTGCCAACCAATGTCTTGTTTTGTGTTTTGGGGTGTGCGCAAACTACGATTGTCTTTTAGGGTTGAGTTTTGCCAACATCGTTTTTGAAGGTTTCGGGTAGGACAACCAGTATCTCCTTCTCAGCGTTGCGTCTTGTCAATCAATATCTCTTGTTAGGGCTTGGGACTTTGTCAGCCAACGACTGCATTCGGGGATGTTCGGGGGTTCGGGTTTGCCGACCAACATAACAACTTTGATCGGGTGGAGGGTATACCCAGCATTCAACGTTTGCCACGAGACACAATTGGCATAGTGCAAAGCTACAGCTTAGGGTTTGTCAACCATCATCTTTTTCTTTTAGGATTCGGGGTTTGCCGACCACGATCCTCCTTTAGGGTTGAAGCTTTACCAGCATCCTTTTTGAAGGTTTCCGGAATGCCGGCCAGCATTTCGGCTTGGCCACCAGCATCATCTGTTGGCGTTTGGTGGTTTGCCGACCAAAAGTTGTGCGGGGATTCGGGTTTCGCCACGCAACAAAGCATCTCCTGATCGAGAGGAGGGTTTGCCACCCATCATCTAGCACCCCACATTGTTGAGGGTTTGCCGACCAACACCTTCTTTCAGGCTTTGTTGGCTTCCCACGGTCTCATCTGCTTTTAGGGCTTCGGGTTTACCGGCCAACAGGCCTTTTCGGGTTTAGCGTTTGCAGCCGGCATTCCCTCTCTTCATTGTCATGACGTATAAGTGGTATAATGGGATGCTGCCGTTTGGGGTCTGCCAACCCGTTTGCCAACCAATATTTTGTTTTGTGCTGTGGGGTTTGCGCCAGCCGCGATGGTCTTTTAGGGTTAGCCACCATCCCGTTTTGAGGTTTAGAGGTGTATGGCAGCCAGTGTTTTAATTTTTTTGGTTTGTGGGTTTGTCACCCAATGTCTGCGTTCAGGGATGTTCGGGGTTCGGGTTTGCCAACCAACATAACAAGTTTGATCGGGTGGAGGGCTTGCCACCCAGCATTCAGAGTTTGCCACGAGACCAACGTCTTCTTTTGTTAGGATTCGGGGTTTGTCGACCACGATTTTCCTTTGGGGTTGAAGTTTTTCCAGCATCCTCTGTGAGTGTTGCCGGTATGCCAGCCAGCATGTCCTTTTGGGGCTTACGGCTGGGCCACCGGCATCATCTGTTAGGGCTTGATGGTTTAACATCTGCATTTGGATTCGGGTTTCGCCAAGTAACAAAGCATCTCCTGATCGAGAGGAGGGTTTGCCATCCAACATCTAGCAACATATTGTTGAGGGTTTGCCAACCAACACCTTGTTGGCTTTCCCACGGTCTCATCTACTTTCAGAGTGGTTTACCGGCCAACGTGTCTTCTTAGGGATTAGCGTTTGCCTGCCAGAACCAGCCAGCATTTCCCATCCTCATTGAGGATCGCCATTGTATACAGTGTATAATGCGACGCTACAGTTTAGGGATTGCCAACCAATATCCTATTTGCCGAGCAGCAATCGCGAGGAAGGTTGAGGGCTTGCCACGCAAAATAATTTGTACAATTCACCGTCTAGGGGTGTGCCAACCAAAATATTAATTATTCAGGGCTGAGGTTTGCCTCCTAGCGGTCTAATCTTCATTTGGGGCTTCGGGCTGGCCAACCAACATCTCGCTGTAGGGTTTGAAGTTTGCCAGCCAACATGTCCTTTTTAGGGTTTGGGGCTTGGCCACCAACTGTTTTCTTTCTGGGTTCTGCGGTTTTTGCTAGTAGACATCTGCGTTTCAGGTTTCAGGTTTCCAAAGACTACAAGAACCTTCTGCGTCGAACGGCCAACGTCGTAAAATAGTTCGCAGTTAGATTAGAGGCTAGGATTCGAAGATTAAGGATGGAGGGGCGGGCTATCGTGGTCATCGCCGCTACGACTCGGAGTCTTCTCAGCACTTGCATGATTTTGCGGTTCTTGGACCTGGAGAAAGGGGTTGGCCAGCCGTTAGCCCTTAGCCTTGGTATTTCCGTGACCACTCGTGAACGAATGGCCCACCTCGGAAAAACGGGGAGCGGTACGGGTCCATCGTGAATCCCCGGAGGAGTGGCCAAGACTCTGAACGTGTTTTCCTGAATTTCATCGGTCCTCGTTGTTTTCGAGTTTGTTTTCCGAATCGGTCCGATCCGGGACTCAGGGTATCGCGATTCAGTCAATACCGAAGCAATCTGCACGGGCATCGGCAACGACATACATGCTCCGGAGCGAGGCATGCTCCCACTGTACTAAAGCCACCAAAGCCAAGCTGGTTCCATAAGATCAGGCCGCAACGGGATCGGATCTTTCTTGCTGATCTCTGTGGCTTGACTTCGGCGTGCTAGCTTTAACTGCGAGTCGAAAGCACGCCGTCACCGCGATACATGTGGAGTCCTCTTCAGCTTTCGTTTGCATAGTACGACGGATGCCGCCGACACTGTTATTTACTCTGGATGTGGGTCCGTTTTGCAGCCACTCGTTGGCGGTGCGAGGGTCGAGGCGCTGGCGGCGGCCGGGCGCGTCGCGACACCTCGAAGAAATGCAGAATTGGTCGCTCTTGTGCTAAACTCCTAACAGTGCAAAACTCGTTGGCTGCCCTGCGTGGGTGTTAAGTTTCCGCGACCGCCCGTGTATGTGTCCAATATCAACTTAAATAGTGTTCCTCGCTCAATAGCCGAAGTATGTGCCGGGCGACGCATCAAGATTCTTGTGCCAAGTTAGCACAAATTCGCCCGAATTCTCATTCCCAGTGCCGAACTCAGGTCTGGCTCGTCACTGGACCGATACCTTCAGTTCTCTGTCATGGAATGAATGGCGATGCTTACTTCCCAGACCTTTTTGGCATGCTCTGCAGGACAGAGGTTGAAGTCTGTTCAGACAATTCACCTGTGGAGCTCGTCGCGAGCTGAGCTCATCTACCCCCACAGATTGTTGATGGATGCACGGACGGGTATTGGATTGGATGAACACGCTCAGCTTCGACCGTACCTGTCAATTCCGTTTCAGACGTGTCGGCCGTTTCGGAAGAGGAGTGATACATAACGAGTTGCTGCTCAAAGGCAGCCGGAGGAGAAAACCATAGATGAAGCCGATGACGGTACAGAACAATCAGCCTCTCTGGCCATGTTCCAGCATCTTCCAGCTAAACATCCTTGTCGACATGCTGTTGCAAGCTCCAAAGAAGAACTAGTTTGAGTTTGGCATTCAAGGCCTTGGAACAGCAGCCGTAGCTGTTTCAGTTCCGAGATGCTACAGAGCCTGGACAGAATCTGGGTTCATGGACAGCGAGTCCTTTTCTGCGCTCTTTCGCTCTCTTTCTAGCTAGCTAGCTATATATATATATAT